GATTATTTCCAAAGTAGAGTTTTGCACGTTACGTAAGTTCAAGGCATCACTGCCCATGTTGGGTCTATAAGCGTAGCAAGGTACAGCAGTCCGCCATTACGAGACGAAGCTGGAAAGGTTACATAAGATACATGAATTATTGTTTTTGATGTAAAATTTTAAGACTTTTGAAATATTTTTGAATTGAAAAGGGAGGGAAGTGAGTGAAAACCTAGTTGTATATAAATATGTTTTCGAAATGTGTATTTAGTAGTAATGTTCATCCTCATGGTAAGGCGTTACGTGTGGGAACATTTTGGTGGATGGTCTTGCATTGAAAGTAAATACAAACTAGACAGTGATCTTGACTGGTGTTCATGCATTGTGTGCAAAGTAACACGTCATGAATGTGTAAAGAAAGTGATAATTTTATATTAAGGAAAAAGGAAGGTGTGTGAAAGTGTTCTGAAACGGCGTAATCTTGGGTACATTTACAATTTTTTTCCTTCCACAAGACAAGTGTGATTCCTCCACCTGTAAGCCGTTTGTTCAACGAATTTTCGGTTTCGACTTGTAAGTTATGATTTACAATGCTAGTTCATGGTTTTCATGTAAATCTGATTATTTTACATCGCTTAAAGAAAATTGTTTTAGTTGCAAGTGATTATTGCATTACAGAGCAGTTAGGGATAGTTTCTGTCTACATTTGTAAGAATTAAATGCTTTTCCCACAGTTAGATAGTTACAGTGCTGAGCCCTTCTTGAGAAGCCATATCTGCAGCAACTCGAGAATTTCCCAGAATTTTATGGAACCTGAAGGTTCGTTACTGTGTTCACAAGAGCCCTCCACTGGTCCCTATCTTGAGCCAGATCAGTCAAATCTATACCATCCCATCCTATCTCTCAAGAATAAAAATATATTTACTTATGATTCCATTCTTTAATTTTAAATAATACCTAACGGTTGTGTATGCAAATTTTGGAATTCTATGGTAATAGCAGTGGACCTTGTGATTCCACAGAGACAAGAACAGCTGCCACAGACCATGGGAGTTTTCTGTGTGGATATGAGAGGATGACGAGGGAATGTGATCAAGAGCTGAGACCATGAGATATACAGGTAGGTCATCTTATGCAGTTGGGCGAAGATATCTGCAGTGGTACAATTTGTTGTTACCTACTTGAAACAGATATTTCCTAGGTGATAGTGTTTAATATTGCCTTCATGATGAAGACATGCCTGTTTAAACTCATGTCATAAACAAAATTTATGTTTCATTTCTGTATTTCAATAAATTAGTTCTAATGAAGATCCCCCATTTTCCTTAATCATATCCACAGGCCCCACATCATACTAGCCCATTTTGCTGCATTTGTCTACAAAGTTTTTTTTTTCATGAATTACAGTTCTTTTTGGATACACGTTCCATGCAATTTAATGTACGGATATTTGTATTTATTTGCACTAAAGTTGTCAACTTGTAAGACTTACAAGTATATATTCTCTAAGTTGAGTATAAATGTATTCATTCCTACAGGAAATGCATGTCATTTCTCCAGATTTTGCATTAAGAATTTTTTATGTATATAGAATATAAATGTGTTAATTTATAGTGAAAGAAAATGTTTCATTTTTTTTTATTTTAACTTCATTGATTCAAGTAGCTGATATTTTACACCGCAGAGTGTAAGTCTGTCTATTTTGACAGAAATATTGTTTCAAAATTTGGACAAGTTGACTCCTAGATTGCAGCACTCTCACATAGTTCTTGCCTGTCCTGATATCCTATGTTCCTACAATGTCCATTGTTATACTTTTCACAGAAACCTGGAAGGTGTTCACTCAGATGCTGTGCTGGGATGTCAGAAGACTGCTGTAGTTCCAGTTGCAGGTAAGGATTAAAGATTATCTGCATCATCCACAGTTGTGCACAACAATCTTCAGATGCAAAATATGCAGCTGTACCTGTATCTGATGTAACGAGGCAGAGTGGGGTAGATATCGTAGGAGTTTTCTAATTTTGAATCCTGGAGCCCACCTAAATTGTTACATCGTGGCACCCCTATTACAAAGAGCTATCAGTCAATGCCTTTTTATTGTGAGATTAATATGAAGCAAATACTCTATAGGTAAATTGGAAGAGACATTAGATAATCCATTAGGAGGTACAAGTAGTAACCACTGTGTTGTAAAGAGTTTAACATACATTCTGTGACATAATGCGGTTAATTTTTGAAGTAAGAAAGTGAGCCCTCCAACGAGAGTGTTGTCATGGCACAGTAAAATTGTGTTACTGCCTACAGGAGACAATAATACATGTTTAAGGCAGCAGTGAATTAGTCCTTTTTACTCATTTAACAAGAAATTAACCACATATATAGCGTGTTACACTGAGTGCCATGGGATGCATGTATTTCAGTCTTTATCTGTGTAAAATCCTTTGACTACTGTGCTATATTCTGAGGCAAGGTAAAGTGGTCTTCAGTCTCTGCATTTTTGCAACATCCTGACAGAGCAGTCACTTAATGTCTTACTGACACATGTACACTCCCCTCCCCACAGTAATAGTCACAGGTTTTGTATGGTAAATGAAGTTAACCACTCGTATGGATATGTACGTGAGTTTTGAATGTAAAGTGAAAAGTAAAGCTATCCCCGTAACAGACCCTGAAGGCCCATAGGGTTGAGATGAGGGTCCCACATTTTCCAGACAATTGGCTCGAAGATGGCGGTAAGGCTGTCAGCCTTATGTGCCAGCTGCTGCTTTACTACCCAGGAAGATTGTTTAATTAATTCCTGGTACTCATTTCTGTTAGAGGCCATGGTGCAGCTGGAAGGATTAGGTCAATTGAAAAAAAAATTCCAGTGACCTTCTGGCTTGTAGCACAGTGCCTCAACCAACTATGCTATGACTCAAAATCTAAATATAGAAGAAAAATTATAAGCAGAATATCTAAGTTGTATGTAAACCTATTACTGGAGTTGTGAGTTTGATGCCCTAAGAATAGTGACTGTAAACACTATGCGTAATGTAGCATGTGTTTATCTGCATTTTGGAAGAGGACTGCAATCTTGAAAATAATTTTATATCTAGCTACTGCCATATTACTCAGTGCTCTGCTCCAGGTTGTGTAACAATATATAAACTTTATTACTGTATAGAAATCCCTTTCAACAAACCGACCTGATTTCAAGATCACACAAGTGACTAGGTGATGCCATTGAGGGAAGTTAACACCCACCAGTATTTAAGATAGAAGGATTTTATTTTATTTTTGATGTATATATTTTATTATTTCATTCTGTCTTAAAAATAAAACATGAATGCCAGGTCCCACCCTTCCTTCCATACCTCATGCTGGTGCCCATATCAAGATTTTATTTTAATTTTATTTTCTGATGTAAGTATTTTGTTTCATTCTGTCTCAATAAAGCAGATGAATGCCAGGTCCCCCCCCTTCCTCCCATCCCTGATGCTAGTGCCCATATCAAGATTTTATTTTAATTCTAGTTTTTGATTTAAATGTTTTACAATTTCATTCTAAAAAATAAAGCAGATGAATGCCAGGTCCCCCCCCCTTTCCTCCCATTCCTGATGCTGGTGCCCCATATCAAGATTTTATTTTAGTTTTAGTTTTTGATGTAAATATTTTGCAATTTCATTCTGTCTTAAAAATAAAACAGATGAATGCCAGGTCCCCCCCCTTCTCCTATCCCTCATGCTGGTGCCCATATCAAGATTTTATTTTAGTTTTAGTTTTTGATGTAAATGTTTTACAATTTCGTTCTGTCTTAGAAATAAAACAGATGAATGCCAGGTCACCCCCCCCTTCCTCCCATCCCTGATGCTAGTGCCCATATCAAGATTTTATTTTAGTTTTTGATGTAAATGTTATATTTTAGCGTCCTGTTGCACTGATTTATGTCCATGATTTATTCTGACCGTCATAAAGTACATACATTTATTCACCTTACTCTTCTCTCTTGCACTACATGTTTCAGCACTAAAGTGCCATCTTCAGGTGCTTTTCTATGTACGTCGAACTACTTCATTGCATGCCCTGTTGTCCTTATACTAAAATAACTAAAATATATATTCGTCACATATTATGATAAATTTTAAATATTAAAACTGTTATGGATTTGTCATCCTGATGTCGTATCTTAATACGCGAGTCACACCTATCTTATTCTATCGGAGTATTCTTCCTACTTTCATGTGTGTATCTGTAACGTGAAATTGTTATTAATTAATACCGCGTTCTGAATTTTATTTGTTACGTGTGGTATTATAATGTGAGTGAGCACAGTGAGTATTAAACATTATAATACCACACGTAACAAAATTCAGAACGTGGTATTAATGAATAACAATTTCACGTTACAGATACATGAAAGTAGGAAGAATACTGCGATAGAAGAAGAAAGGTGTGACTCGTGTATTGAGATATGACATAAGGATGACAAATCCAGAACAGTTTTAATATTTAAAATGTATCTATATATATGACGAATATATATTTTAGTTATTTTAGTATAAGGACAACAGGGCATGCAGTGAAGTAGTTCAATATACATAGAAAAGCACCTGAAGATGGACTTTAGTGCTGAAACATGAAGTGCAAGAGAGAGGAGTAAGGTGAATAAATGTATGCACTGTAAGACTGTCAGAATAAATCATGGACATTTGATGTAAATGTTTTACAATTTCATTCTGTCTTAGAAATAAAACAGATGAATGCCAGGTCCCTCCCCTTTCCTCATGCTGGTGCCCATATCAAGATTTTATTTTAGTTTTAGTTTTTGATGTAAATATTTTACAATTTCATTCTGTCTTAAAAATAAAACGGATGAATGCCAGGTCCCCCCCTTCCTCCTATCCCTCATGCTTGTTCCCATATCAAGATTTTATTTTAGTTTAGTTTTTGATGTAAATGTTTTACAATTTAATTCTGTCTTAGAAATAAAACAGATGAATGCCAGGTCCCCCCCTTCCTCCTATCCCTCATGCTTGTTCCCATATCAAGATTTTATTTTAGTTTTAGTTTTTGATGTAAATATTTTACAATTTCATTCTGTCTTAAAAATAAAACAGATGAATTGCAGGTTCCCCCTTCCTCCTATCACTCATGCTTGTGCCCATATCAAGATTTTNGTTGACTCAGGACACAGATCTGTTGCACGATACTGAGTAAGTACAGTAGAACTTGGTTATAACGTCATCAAAGGGACATAAAAATAGTGTCGTTGTAACCGAAATGGGCACTTCCACAGTAGCCTTATGTTAGTCACGTAAAAATCTACCAAAAACCGAGTTAAAATGTTGCATTTTTTAGTGAAGTACGTAGTTAAGTACAGACTAACGCAACATTTACGTGGAATTGCCCAAATGTGTAATATCAAAGACATATTACAGCGCTTTTCACTGACAATACACACAATATTTCACGAATCACTTTAACTTTCTCTTCAATGCTTAAAACTTTCCTTTTCATTGCCATGTTTTCGCTACTGCACTTCTCTGGGTTTAGGCAGGAACACTATAGGGTAAGTAGACAATGTGAGGTCCTGTTAGACGAGATTCTAGGAAAGGAATGCAGTTAACAACCTGCCGCGTCCTCTTGCACTATTCACGCAGTCCCACCCCACACCCTTGTTTTCGCATAAAACCCACGCTCCTCTTGCAGCCCGCGGTCGTATTCTTCCAGGACAGTCACGTCAGCAAGTAGAGAAAGTGAGGGTGGGCAGACACATCGAACTTTCCCACGATATCAGAGAAATTCAGGAATGAAAATGACGTTACATACGAGGTTGATGCATTTGTGCATGTCGTACTAAGCAAGGTATAAAAACAGTTGCTTTATGAGGAATTAGTTCGTACCATTGAATATTTGACACAATAGACAAGGTGTCGCAGAAACCGATGTTGCTATAACCCAAGTTTTACTGTATATATTTTATTATTTCATTATGTCTTAAAAATAAAAGAGATGAATTCCAGGTTCCCCCTTCCTCCCATCCCTCATGCTGGTGCCCATATAAAGATTTTATTTTAATTTTAGTTTTGATGTAAATATTTTACAATTTAATTATGTCTTAGAAATAAAAGAGATGAATTCCAGGTTCCCCCTTCCTCCCATCCCTCATGCTGGTGCCCATATAAAGATTTTATTTTAATTTTAGTTTTGATGTAAATATTTTACAATTTAATTATGTCTTAGAAATAAAAGAGATGAATTCCAGGTTCCCCCTTCCTCCCATCCCTCATGCTGGTGCCCATATAAAGATTTTATTTTAATTTTAGTTTTGATGTAAATATTTTACAATTTAATTATGTCTTAGAAATAAAAGAGATGAATTCCAGGTTCCCCCTTCCTCCCATCCCTCATGCTGGTGCCCATATAAAGATTTTATTTTAATTTTAGTTTTGATGTAAATATTTTACAATTTAATTATGTCTTAGAAATAAAAGAGATGAATTCCAGGTTCCCCCTTCCTCCCATCCCTCATGCTGGTGCCCATATAAAGATTTTATTTTAATTTTAGTTTTGATGTAAATATTTTACAATTTAATTATGTCTTAGAAATAAAAGAGATGAATTCCAGGTTCCCCCTTCCTCCCATCCCTCATGCTGGTGCCCATATAAAGATTTTATTTTAATTTTAGTTTTGATGTAAATATTTTACAATTTAATTATGTCTTAGAAATAAAACAGATGAATTCCAGGTTCCCCCTTCCTCCCATCCCTC